ACTGTTTTCTACTTCAATTTATTTTTCTGTGTAGATGGTGGAAAGAAATATGGATGTTTTGGAGAAAGGGTTAGAGAAGGCAGACAAAAGAATTTTTCAGCTCTTAAAAGAACAATACAAATTGGAGGGACGTGTCAAATATCTGGAGATAAAATTAAACTGCATAAAACCCTTAATAGAAAAACTGGAAAAAGACCTCTGCAGAAGACAGACAGATTCTTCTCATGAGGCTGGAAATGGGGAGAGTCTCGAAGAAAGAATTGAATTTTTGGAGTCTGCTTATATTTGCATTCTAAAGACAATTGAAAAAATTGAGCCAAATTTTAATATTAATTTGCTTCCAGCATCATCACCTGATACAAACCCAGAAGCTTCCACTTCAGGTCAGCAAAATTTGTTACATCATTTAATTGTACTGTCTCCTGTACAAATGATTTATGTTGCTATCATACATGTTCCATAACCAGTTCAAGTTAGAATAATTTTAGCTCACCTTAGCCCAAAGCACCTGAAATTTGGACATGACTTTTGAACGGTAGATAATAGAACTTTCATGTTTCACATATATTCTTTGTGGCACGACCTTTCATTGGAAACCAACAACTTTGACTCTTTGACCTTTGAGATTTCCATACTTATGAAAAAACTTTAACCATGGCCATAACTTTTGAACGGTAAGGGCTAAGGCTTTCATACTTCATATATGTAATCCTTGTGAGACAATCTTTCATTGGATACCAAGTACTGGTATTTTGACCCTCTAACCTTGAACTTAGAGTTTGATCTGCTGTAAAAAACAAACTGTGACCGTAACTTTTGAAGCATTAGAGCTAGGGCTTTCATACTTCACAAATCTAATCCTTGTGACAAGACCTTTCATTGAATATCAAGAACTTTGACCTTTGACCTCGGAGTTTGACCTACTTTTTAAAAACTTTAACCTTTGCCATATCTTTTGAAGGGTTAGGTATAGGGCTTTCACACTTCACAAATATAATCTTTGTGAGAAGACCTTTCATTGGATTCCAACAACTATGACCCTTTGACCTTGGAGGTTGACCTACCTTTCAAAAACTTATCATTGGTCATAACATTTGAACAGGTGGTACTAGTGATTTCATATTTCACAAACATGTTTCTTGTTAAAAGACCCTACCTTGGGTACCAATATCTTTCATTTTCATTTAGGAAAAGGTTAATTTTCACTAAGTTGAAATACAGGGTCATCAGTGTTTCACAAACACATCTTGTTCCTTATCACTTCTGATTGAGAAGAGATAGGGCTTTCATATTTGACATGTGCATTACCTGTTACAAGATATTTCTGACCCCTTGACCTTCATGATTGACCATATTTTTAAAAAATTAAACTTTGGTTATTATTTCTAAAGGACATATGATTGGGCATTCATATTTGAGACAATATGTCATAAAAAGTGACATCTCATCCACAGAGACACCGAAAGTGGGGGACCACAATTCTTTGAATTTGCTTGTTTGTCATGGATTTAGAAAATATAATACTATTGTTTGCAGCTGACTGTAAAGTTTCACGTTACGTCACAATCTAGTTGACAGCTGCACTCAAGGTAAATTGTACACGCCTCCTAACCACAAGCTTTACGACTGGAACTTTCTTCTTATCCCTGATTGGTTGCTCGTGCAACAGACTATTTCTGTATCAATGTTGATAATTTGAGTTAACCAATCACGTGAATTGTTTACGCTGGATGCATCTGACGAAAAAGATCGTGACGAAACGTGAAACTTTACAGTTAGCTGCAAACAATAGTAATGAATGTTCTAATCTGTTTACTTATAGGTGTTGAAACAACTGATGCTGGAGCAAGTGGATGTAATGTAAGTTCACATTGTTCTATGATACAAAAAATAAAATGCTTTAAATACATGTTTATAAACTTTACCTATCAGCAATCATTATTCAAGATTTAAATTCCAGGTAATATTTCCAAAATAATGATTAAGGAATGGGGTTTATAGTTCAATATTTACATCCACTGAATATATTCTCCTTTATTTCTTAAGAAAACCCATTGTGTTAATCACTGCATGAACTACATTAGGCATGTCGCCTGTCCAGATTTCTTGATCAGTGGCTGTTCCATCAATGAAACATATAAACACGTTTGCATCATTAATACAATAATTAAACTTTTTAATCCTTCTTTAAATGATTTTTAATCAGGAATAAATTTAAACAATAAAATGTCTTTCTTTGTTTGTTATTACTGGAATTAACGGTCGCAGCTATTGCAGGAAAAATTACATAACCCGCTTACGCGATTTATGTATTTTTTCTGCAACAGCTGCTTCTGTTAATTTCAGTAATAACAAACAAAGAAAGCATTTTATTGTTTAAAATATCCATTTAGAGAAAGATTTGCTCTTTATAGTGTCCAAAGTAGTGAAGCTATAATTGGTATTTCAAAGAAAAAAAAACTATAAGGAAGACATCAATCTTACGTGCTTATCCCTTAGTGCCTTAAAACAAGTTTGACCCAAATCTATGTCATGCTATCAGTTATTATAAGCTTAACTGATATGTAAGCTAGCTCATATGAGCTTTCTTGCTTTTCTGGCAAAATTGATGTAGCTAATTTTCAGAACATAGCTTTTTATAATTTTTATCTTTCAGTATCTGAAAAAAGTAGAAAAGTTGGAGAGCTCTTTACTTCAAATAGAACAGAGACTCAACAGATTATATGATGAGAGATTTGGGAAACAGGGGCAATTGAAATCTTTTTTTGCAAAACTGCAAGGACTTGAGTGTGCTGTGGAAAGGCTTGAAAGAGAGTATGGCTCACAGGTGGGCAACCTTGAAATACATGATGAGAGAACATTGGTAGACAAAGCTCAAGAGAGACTGGATAAACTATTTGAACGATTAGAAAATTTAGATCTCCATATTTTGAAATGATCTCTGTAATTTAATCTCATTGGGTTGAAGTTTGATAAGTAGGTCAGCTAGCACTTAAGTACAATACA